GACGGATGGGTCCATTACCTGGTAAATGACCTGAATACTTTAAGGGTGACTCCAAATGAGGCATCGGAAGTCTCCGTACTGCACCATACATTCTCTTACAACATACAAGATCACTTCTTACAAACGAAAGCAGGTCTTTATCAAATAAAGACAACAACGTTCTAGACTTTCCATTGTATGTATGATACTAGTATCTTCATGCGTGGCCGCAAACGATTAAGTTACAATTTAAGTAATATTCCGACATCCTCACTTGTTTCAAGTAATTTGACAGTCGCTTTGTTTCAGGACGTGGAAGGCGGTGAAAGGTAGAATTCAGACAAATAAATCAAAGGTAAGAAATGTTTACTTCATGATCAAGAATGTTTTATACGGTCACTTGGTGTAAGGAGAATATTTTTCAGTGTTCCTCTCTCTTCAAACGTACCCTGGTTATTCAAGTCTCTATTAAATAAGTTCTCAGCATAATTTGAGAAATCAACCTTTGTTCATGACTACCTTTTACAGGTTCTGGTGTACAATCCTGCCTTCGTCAAGTACGTACACGACAAATGGATAGAGCACCATGCGAAATGGCCATCCACAGGCAGTTTGGTTGTCCTGTTTGCAGTGCACATTTGTGATGAGGTAGGGAAAAAATCCTTCGCAAGTTGAAGTATATTTTTGGATTTCTTGAGAGACACTACTTCGTGGATCGGGAATATGGTAAGCCACGTATGGGTTGAAGGAATGAGGCTGAACTAAAGACTGCTATGCTTGTGTGAAATGTGTGGAAAAGTGCTGGGTTAAATGTGTGGTGAAGTGATTGTTATGTTAAGATAATCTCCAAGCAGATCCCTCTCGGTGGCAAAAAGACAGTATCAAATTGGCCAGGCAGTATCCATTAGCCAGAGAAGCTCCGCGGCCACCAACGGCCTATATAAAAAGGTAACGATCATTCCCCCACAACCTCTGCTTGGAGAGTAATGTTACGATTTATAATATGAGAGGCCTCATAAATACCCGCATTTGAAGATTGTCATCTGAATGATATCTGTTCCGCCAGGTGGACGTGTATGGTTTTGGAGCTGACAAACAGGGGATCTGGACCCACTACTGGAGCACGTCGTACACCGGACAGTCCATAGGGATACACGACACTTCATTTGAAGAGCTTCTGCTTGAAAAACTGCAGTCCGAGGGGATCATCAACATCCATAGAGGCAATGCGAGTCACTAGTAAACTAGAGGTCGGAGATCTCATGCCTTCGTCAGAGGGACATTGTTCTAGATAAAGGAACATTTTTTTTAAATACTAGAAATCAATTTGGTCTAGAGTACAAAGAATCTCTGTACTCTATTTTTTCCTTTTTTTATTCTACGACAGTGTCGCAAAATGTAATGAGAAGATGTGATGAAAGGAAAGAATCAGAACAGGGGGAGATTTATTGCTGTTTTCGTTTGTTGTTACACTATGTTCTTTTATTCAATTTGCATCCTAACCTTTGTATTTCCACAGTTAGTATGTTCCAAATCTACGCATGTTAATCAGTTTTTTTTTGGCCTTAATGTATTTTATCGCGCTTTTGCAATAAATCTAAGGTCTCCAGTGGACGTCATCCATAAAAAATTACTTGGTCTGGCCTTACAATTTAAGGAATGACCTGCCTGACGAATGTCCACCTTCTTCCTCCCCCGCCCCAGTAGTTATAGGACAGCCCCTCAATTGTAAGCATTTGATACCAGATGCGGGGACAGCTGTCCCCCATGTGAATCAATGCAGAGGTTGGTGGGAGTAGTTCATTATACATCTAACACAAAAGGTCCACTGCAGCGACATAGGGACCCCCCACGAGACCCGTTTTCGAACTTGATCTTGGCCTCTACAATGGTAGGTTGCCTGTCAAAAATCATGGACGTCGAATAATGTCTTCAAGAGTTATTTCGCTAAATCCGCAGTCACCCACAATGCGGCGAGACAATTTCATAGTCCTTCTGACGAAGACAATTAAACCATAAACTAGGAAGGTAAATGCATAATGTTTACCTTTGTATATGGCCTTCTCTGTTAATTCTTACTCAAACACACTCATATATATATATATGTTGACAGCATTCTAAATCCCTCCTGCGATAAAATTGCAACATGATGTAACTAGTTACCATGGTGACGGAGACGGCCTCGTTCAGGTCATTGACCAGGTCAGAGGAGGTCAATGTTTGGAGAAGAAGAGGAAGAAGAAACAGAGCAAAAACAATATGTTTTCCTTCAGTAAACATAAACTACTGACCCTTCAGTGGTACTGTAGGAACTTGCAGGAGTTTGTTGGGTGTCTTCAGTCTTGCGTCATCGGGAAGTTTGGAAAAGTCGAGCTTGCTCTTCGCGGCCGTGGACAGGAGCGCCATGCGGATCTGCGCAGGCGTCAAGCTCGGGTCACGTGACAGCAGTTTTGTCACCACACCTTTAATATGATGAATAGAACAAAGTTTTACAACTGCAAATCTACTCAGCATAACATCTTAACCCATCTTAAACATCAAAGCTGTCTGTCGGCAAGAAATACACTGGGGCATATTTTTTTTCAAAATTTTGGATCAGTTGCAGAGATGTGTTACGCCGAAGGGCGGTTATACCGGCTATACAGATACAGAAGCTGGTGTGTTACGCCGAAGGGCGGTTATACCGGCTATACAGATACAGAAGCTGGTGTGTTACGCCGAAGGGCGGTTATACCGGCTATACAGATACAGAAGCTGGTGTGTTACGCCGAAGGGCGGTTATACTGGCTATACAGATACAGAAGTTGGTGTGTTACGCCGAAGGGCGGTTATACCGGCTATACAGATACAGAAGTTGGTGTGTTACGCCGAAGGGCAGTTGTACCGGCTATACAGATACAGAAGCTGGTGTGTTACGCCGAAGAGCGGTTATACCGGCTATACAGATACAGAAGCTGGTGTGTTACGCCAAAGGGCAGTTGTACCGGCTATACAGATACAGAATTCGAAGCTGGTGTGTTACGCCGAAGAGCGGTTATACCGACTTAACAGATACAGAAGCTGGTGTGTTACGCCGAAGAGCGGTTATACCGGCTATACAAATACAGAAGCTGGTGTGTTACGCCGAAGGGCGGTTATACCGGCTATACAGATACAGAAGCTGGTATGTTACACCGAAGGGCGGTTATACCGGCTATACAGATACAGAAGTTGGTGTGTTACGCCGACGAGCGGTTATACCGTCTATACAGATACAGAAGCTGGTGTGTTACGCCGAAGAGCGGTTATACCGTCTATACAGATACAGAAGCTGGTGTGTTACGCCGAAGGGCGGTTATACCGGCTATACAGATACAGAAGTTGGTGTGTTACGCTGAAGGGCGGTTATACCGGCTATACAGATACAGATATTCGACCTACCTGCTGTTATGGGCGCTGCCTGTGACGTCCCGCTTAGGACTTTGCTGCAGCTGTCGCACTCCACGCCTGCGCTCAACACCTCCTGCGCGGGAGCGAATATGTCAACACAGCTTCCGTGTGACGTAGCGCCACCTCCTTCCTCAGTCCGATCGTACAGGTCGTCAGTTTTCCTTGTGCCACCAACAGTGATCACCTGTATGACAAGTAGTCATAGAAAACATTCATATTCATCATTTTCATTAAACATTTCTCACAATATCATGATTATGACTCCGCACGTTTTAACCAGCATGCAGTATCAATAAGGAAGTGCTCCCATTATTCATATATTGTGACCTTCCCAGCAGATTGAATGGTCAATTGACCACCATAGCTATATATTCATATATATGTTAACTCATGAACACCCGGGTATCCAAGACTGTATAGCCCCTAGATACCTTAAACAACGGCCCCACTCACACTTACCTCTGCCTCCCTGGCAGGAGAGAGGTTACACGCGTCGCCCCCGGAATTCCCCGCCGCCACCACCACGGGAAGACCCAGCAGTGCCAACTCCCTGGACACCTTGTTGACTGACGGGGATACTCCTGTGGCGGGAGGTACAATGTATTACTAATCTCCAAAGCAGACCATACGGTGGCAAAGCAGTATCCATTGGATGCATGTCCATTAGCCATCGACATTCCTTTTGGCCAATGGATACTGCTTTGCTACCGTATGATCCGCTTGGGGCCAACTTTATAAGTTACTTTTGTTGCTATTTGTATTAGTTTGAGTTTGATGTTTTTGTTTGGGGTCTTCCCCAGGCCCAGGGCTCATTGAAAAGCGCCCTACGGGCGATATGTATCCCCCTGGTTAAATAAATAAAAACAAACAAACAAACAAACTGCATGATGGACTCTGTCAGTTTGCCATCAAATTGATGTCTACAGCATGGCGCAATGTACAATTACGTTGGGTCAAGGGGGTGGAAATTTTGGTGCGTTTTTCTTGTTCTCTTTCTTGTCTTGTCGCCATATTTTTTGTATAAAAATATCACTTGTCCTCAGTCAACTTAGACAAGTTTGAGTGCAGTCAAGTATGCATTACCTCTGGATGCCAGGGACATAACGACGACCCCGCGGGCTCCAATGTTCGATGTGACCCTGTCGTGGATGTGGCTGAGTCCACGTAGCACACTCAACGTTGAGCCGAAGCCCCTGCTGTCGAGAACCCGCACGCTTCTCAGCAAAACTCGCGGGTTCACGCCGAACGTCTTGCCGCCCACGAGAGCGGCAACGTGTGTTCCGTGGCCGTCCAAGTCGTTGCCCTAAAAGGGAAGAAGAGTGCACATTGCTGGACACGATCTCTCTCTCTCTCTCTCTCTCTCTCTCTCTCTCTCTCTCTCTCTCTCTCTCTCTCTCTCAATGGCAATTATTTATTTCACCTTGTTCAAGCCGTCGGCGTCATGAGCGTCGAAGCCAGACCAGACAGCGCGACCCTCAAATTCTTCATGGGTGTAGCGTATTCCAGAGTCGACGATGTACACATCCACGCTGTCTGTTGGCAAGAGGAGATTTAAAAAAGATTTAAAAACTAGAAAGGTAACATTTGCAAAGCAAATGCACAATGACTACCTTCACATATGGTCTGCTCTGTTAATTCTTACTCAAACACATTTATATATATAGTGACAGGAGTCTAAATCCCTCCTGCTATAAAATTGTAATATGATGTAACCCAACACTAGTTACCATGGTGATATAGGGTTTAGGTCATTGATCTTTTTGGTTTGGAGAAGAAAAGGAGGAAACTGAGCAAAAACTATATATATTTTCCTTCAGTAAAAAGTAGGACCCAGTACACATCCAAAAAGATGAATGCATCAAGGAGAAGACCAGTTTACCGATCAATATCGAAGAAAGAAAGAGACCTGGCAGTGTATTCCTGTAGTCCACACAGCCCTGACAGTCACAGTGATCTGTGGTGTTGCCGCACCAGTTGTAAGGGGAGCAGCACGGGTACATACTGTCCGGGTCACATTCAGCGGGTCTGCCGTCTTCTGCGGGGTAGCCCTGTCCGCAGTGCCCATCTTCACGCCACTTCTTGGGAACTATATTATCAATCAATAAAAAATGGTTTATTGATTGATCATAAACATTGCAGCTGAAAGCAGAATTGCGTTCAAAGATGTACATTATTAAAAACGCTCACGGCTACACAGTCTGAAAATGGAATTGCGGCTGTTGAGTTGCTTCTGACATTAAAAATATTTACACATTACAAAACCGCATTTACACATCATATTACATTAATTTCGCATGTTCAAGTTTGCTTATTCTTGTTTATATTTTACATACTAAAATACATATAAATTACATATTAAGATTTAACACTGGCGGGTTAAATATTCAATAGAACGCATTTCAAAAATTCTTAGAAGCATGATTCGTCGCAACATTTCAACAATTATGGTACCGAACAAAAAACTTCCATACATCAAACATGTTGTTTGTTGTCAAAGAGGTTTTGTTTGACCTAGGTATGACCTTTGTTCCCCTAAACTTTACCTTTTCGGTACCTCAATTTATGTATAACATTCCACCCGAATACATGATGGTTGGTTTTAGGCGCACACTTACCTAACGATACCTCGCAAATGAAATAATCCTCTTGACCACAGCTGTCGTCATCCCAGAGGAATCCCCGGACGGCCCAAAGCTGCCCACAGTTCTGGATCTGTCCGTTGTTTGGTTCCCCTGCCGCCCAGTTGGCAAAGTCTCCTTCCCTCAGTCGGCTGCCGTCAGACCATACCCATCTACCTTCAACCTGTTGATGTAAGGCCACACTGACTTAATGTTACAGACGACATCCTATGGAGACACCAAAACTAATGCGAGAGGGCAAGAAAACATCACAGGAACCACAGGAATACTAGCAAGAATGCAGTCATTTTACAACAGGCCCACCCCCTACCAAAAAGGCAATAGGGGCTTTACTAATAGCCTCTACAAGCTGTATAATTCAATTCCCCCATATGCCACCTACATACTCGCACCCGACGCAAGCTGGGTCACCTTCAGGCTTGACCTTCCTGTCAATCAGTTGTCAAAATCACCTCCCCCCCACCATGCAAACGAAACAATCAGGACAAAAGGGGGAAGACGAACAAAACACTTTGGTACCTGGGTGTAGTAATAAGTGAAGAAATTATGTATTGCCAATACCTCTTGGTCATTCAGGCCTATCCAGTAGTCTCGCCCAGGCTGCACGGCGCGGACTGCACGGACTAGAAAGTTGTGTATAGCCTCGGTCCGGACGTCGGCGAGGTGCCCTCCGTCTGTGGCGCAAACCTCCCTGGCAGCGGCGTAGGTCCTGGCTTCGGAGTAGACCTTGTAAAGTGTGGTTCCTTGCTTGATGTAGCCTAGATGAAAGTGAACATACCTTTTTTGTTAATTTCATGAGCATTCTTTGATGCTTGTGGGGAGAGGGGGTCACATTTCCAATGACAATAATAAATAGCATTAATTTATTTTCATGCCCTATCGGACTAAGTACAAGTATACGTGTACAGAAGTAGTAATCCTTTTCTTTTTGTTCACATTACCAGGAATGCATATCTTATCCGCCTGCCTCCGCCATTCCGACTGTATAACGTTATGCGACTTCAACCCGTCAGACATACCACAGTAATTTAAGATAGAACACTTTCGTAGACCTACCTGTGATGGTTCTGTAGATAGAATTTCTCCAGTTTCCACCGCAAGTCTCCGTCGCATCACCCGTACAAGGCGTGTCACACTCCGACTCTGGTGCCGCTCCGAACCGACCAAAGCTGTCGCCACAGAAGCACTCTTTGCCGTACTGCAAGCCAGCATACCGGTACCTGAAGCATACAGGCAATTATACCTGTCCTTGGCGCTTAACACCACACACACACACACACACACACACACACACACACACACACACACACAGAGGCAATCATACCTGTCCTTGGTGCTGAACACCATCAACACACAGGCAATCGTGCCTGTCCTTGGTGCTGAGCATCATCCACACACAGGCACACATAACACATTAGACAACACGTTACATCTACAGCTCCCTATAGATTATCAGTAATCAAGTCAAAAGATTTCAATTCCTGGATTCGTTGACACTAGAAATGCAACATAACTAACTGAACGGGCTTTGCATAACAAACCTAAAGGAAAGACGCATAACGGTCAGCTTTCACATTCAATATCAAGTAAATCATGGACATACACAAATTTTAACTGTTGAATTCTTAAAATTGAAAGCATAGCCAGCATTTCAACTGTGTAGGCCACCAACATACCCTCCTGAAGTACAGTGGTTGATGCAGGAAGTTGGCGTTAGGTTTTCCTCATCGACCATGACATCACCTGTCAGGTCCCGGATGTCCAGACTCCCACCATCACGGTAGCAGCCGAGGTACACCTGCCTCGATACTGAACAAGATGGCGACTGATCTTTACAATGTAATAATGAATCATGAAGATGCAACATTACAGCAGTATGAAAGTTGACATTGTACTTTATTTGTACATATTTCAATGGGGTTGTGACTGTCCTATTGCCGTATAGACGACAGAAACAGGTAGTTTTCACAAGCAGGAATATGTAACGTTACTAATAACTTTTCATGCCAAACATGCATAGAGGTGCAAGGCATTGGACAGATGTTCATATCAAGTTAGATGATTGTTGTCGAAAAACCTCACACAGTGCCCACACCATATCCGGTATCCAACATGTTTCGTCCATAATTACGAATCGTGATATTGAAAAAAAAACTTACCAAAGGCTGGCCGCTGACAGATGAATCTGTACCTCAACCGACAGGGAACGTCGTTCCACTTGGAATCAGCTTCAACAACTGCACAGTCCTCGTTGCCGGCCTGGTTAGGCTCCCCTTCTGCCCAGCTTGCGAAGGAGTTCCGGTCCAGCTCTTCTCCATTGTTCCATCTCCACGTTCCCTCCTTCTCTCTATCCGAAAGTCCGAGCCAGAACCTTACTCTCGGGTTCAGGGCTGTCTTTAACTTGATGAGGAAGTCGTTGACGGCGATGTTTCGGGGTTCAGCCAAGATCCCGCCCTCTGCGGCAACAGACGGCCTTCCGCAGTGGCATAATCCTTAGCTTCGTCGAAGGCCTTGAAGCAGGCGTCACCGAATGGTTGGTAACCGGCAGGGCACTCCATGGTTTCAGAAACTGTAGAAAGACAGAAAAAAGGAATAGGAGATTTTAGACCCGGTACTGTTTTGGATCCGTAGTGCCTCTATGATCAAAGGCAATGACATCATACAATAGATTACTACTCATACAATTGTATGGTACAACTTCCTCTCTCGATTACATCACTGTTTTCGACTTTTTCACACATAATTCGCACAACCACACACACACACACACACACACACACACACACACACACACACACACACACACACACACACACACACACACACACACACACACACACACACACACACAGCCAACCACACACACACACACACACACACACACACACACACACACACACACACACACACACACACACACACACACACACACACGAACGCCTCTGAAAACATAACCTTCTTGGCGAAGGTAATGAACTCACCGTCCAGGCATCCGTGAGTTGTCGTCTGATGCAGCGTACATGGGCCGCAGCCCGTCCCGTGCCATGTTGAAGCCGTCCACGGTGACATAGGACGGTAATCCCGGGACGCGCCCAGCCACGCTCCGCGGCGGCCGCCTGCCATCCCCGAAGGAAGCTAGAGAAGTCACCAGAAAAACCACGGCGATGCTGCGGTAGCATTTAGTGTTCCCGCGGTTCATTTTTGTGGTGATGAACCTCAACTCAGATGTTAAAACCGGAGCAGATCAGTTTTTGTACCTACCGTTCGTAGAATTCTAAGAAGTTGAGGATGTGACGTGACCATTTGCAAGTTCTCTTGATAGTACCGGAAATACAATGTAGTTGGTCTTGCCAGCAGCCTCTACAACATAGGGTTATACTTACGAAACACTGGCTCAAATAGAAAACAGCCTTTGATATTATGATCATAGTGCTACATTGCTGTGTCATCGAGATTCTGTTTTCCCCGTACGAAAGCACACAGTTACTAAGTGCGATATATGTGTAGTGATAGATAAACTACTTTTTTTAGTATCCCACCAGACACCGTCGAAAGTTGTTCACACATCTGGAAACTTTCAAAACCCTGGAGCAGTTCCAAGATGTGCCCGGGAAACAGGGCTTTTAAATCTATCAGCAGTTTTGAAAGTTGGCGAGATTTCCTTTGTGTATTTACGTACAGGTGACGATGAGTGAGCGGCGGTGACGGTGGCCTTTTTACTTCCGGGTAAGGAAGGGCTGTTTTGGATGGGTTTGTGTGGCTGTTTGTCCGTCAGAATTGGTTGAGGGCACGTGGGTGGGGGAGATTGACAAGCCGAGTGACAGTGATCTGAATGTCAGACTCAGGTAAAGGGGTGAACTTGAAGGTCACGAAAACCAAAGACACTTTCCGGAAGTATTTTTTTCTCGTTTCTTTGAATGAACCACCTCAACAGGATAGTAGAATTGTCAAACGCAATAAAAGATAGATAGATGGAAATATTGACGGTTATAATTTAACGTATACACAGTATAGGCCCATTAAGCTGTGTATTTTCCCACATTTGTTCTTGAGAGAATTTTGGATTTTTGCTCGAAAATGGTTGTGACGACATATATGGCTTAACCAGAAATGTTTCACCACAGGAATTCCGAGGTTACGACGTTTTGTGTCCGCTTTTGTTTTATTAGCCGAATGAGCCAATATGCAAGACTAGTCGGCCATGACATACCAATTATTATTATATACAAATATGATTATATATAACGTTACATATATATCAGTACCAACTTTATAACTGCATCGAATGTGTAACGTGATATTTTGAGGTTACTAATCCCAAATGGTGGGCGAAAACCAATGAATTTTAACGGGTTGAGTAACACTAAATGATGTGTAACGTTATATCCATTCAAGTTGAATGTAATAAAAGCCCAAAACACTTCCCAAAAGTCTGAAATGTCCAATTTCTTACTTGATTTGTGCAAGGTTTTTAGGCCTCTGGTTTGAGGTTTATATTTAGTAGATCAACGCTCTTATTCCTCCAGAAGCTTGGCTACATGTTTTTGGTTTGTCTTCTGAAGGGCACGTTTGAAGGAGTAAAATGCTGCGTCACCCCTGCGGGGGAGGTGGTCCAACACCATCCCGGCACGTCCGCGGGTCGTCGGCTGATGACGTAACTCCTCAGCGTATTTCTCACTCATGACGCCATCTTGGATGAGGTGGTCGATGACGTCATCTGGGGTGACGTTGCGCACTAGCTGAAGACGGTTCTTGGTGAGAAGTTTGCAGTGTGCCTCCGTCATTTCAATACCTGTAGGGTCAATATGGAACTTGTATTATCCATAAACCGAACTATCCATCGATAGACTACCCCGAGAACTATATATTGTTCCTCCCTTTCAAACAAACAAGGTCAATGACCTGAATCAGACAGCTGTCACCATGGTAACTGGCGCTGTACCAGACACCCTGTGGTGTTGGAATGCATTATGTAGCAAGTGGCAAGAAAGAGTTGGAAGGGATGGCTATCATGTATACAAATTTGTTTAAGAATAAACAGCTGTCTGATAGGCAAGACCATGCTTTGCATATGCTAAATTTCTAGTGGATCTTAGTAAGATATATTTAGACTAGAGATAGCTAGGTAGACCGTTCGCCCATCCATTCGACTGTTATGGATGGGCGATTTTCTTGATTACCGGTAATCATGGCTATATTGCATGCCGAGTTTATGTGCATGCCATGACTTGTAATGATACTACTGTTCGTCTTCAAAGTTAAGTTACTTACTGCGGCCACGTTCGATGTCTGACTGACTGACCGATGTGCTGTCTTCTATCACCCGGATGATGTCCGGCTGTAGGAAAAAACAAACAGGAAATATTCACTACAATGTCCTATTTTTCATTTCAAGTTTCTTTCGTTGTATGATAATGAAGTTCTGATAGTGTATGTGTGTCCGCCTGTGTGTAACGTTATTTGTATGTCGTTTGTAACAGACTGTAATATCAAAGATCAACGTGCTTTTTGGACCATTACAGGATATAGCTTTGTTCTGAACATATTGCAGCACTTTCGTGCAAATTTCATACATTGAAATTAGAGGGGGAAGGAAAGGCCTTTACTTACCCAGCGTCGAAAATTAACTTCGTGCACCTGTCTCTCACACAACAGTCTTACTGTGTCATCTGATGGGAAGTCTTCCTCGTGTGTTGAGATGTTCAGTATGTGCCGGGGATGCTTTATCTGGGCTGAGGGTTGATCATCTGGACGGCATGCCTCACACCGTATTCCAAACGTATAGCTCACGTAGGGAAAGTCTCTACCACAGATGTCCTTGATGTCACAGTCGATGCGGCACAGGAGATCCCGAACGCCGGACTCTGGCGCTCTCCCCACGGTGACCTGTATCAGGTTCTGTGCATCCGCAGGGCAGCACAGCTCGATCTTGTAGTAGAAGTCGTTGGACTGGTAGAACCTCCCTGCATCGCTGTACACGTGTCGTCTGTTGGACATGTCGTGAGATCGCTGCGAAACGTACAGACACCTGGCCAGCAGGCGGACGAATACGGCATCCGGGTTGAACTCTCTGAAATTGAAGAAGAAGCTGACATCTGTTGACCTGTTCTGCCAAAATGGCAGCCACGCTCTGTCATCTGTTTCTGGATCCGAGCTTATGACGTCATCCTCAGGCTCCAGAGCTTGGCGTTTTTTGTCGAGACGTTTAAGATTAAGTGGAATAATGTAGTACTGAGCTGTGGTCGTGTCATCTTGTCCTGGTGAGTTCAAGAGAGGGCAAACAAGGTCATACTTCCTGAGAATGGTGATCACTTCTTCGAAAGGGGCGTTGATTTTCTTACACAGTTTTTCCATGAGCTTCAAAGGCACCATGGCGCCATGTTCAACTGTCATCTGGAGCAGGTTGGTCAGCAGGTCAACGACAAGTTGTGGGTCAAAAACCACGAACGTTTCCATCAGCTTGATTTCCCCGACTCGGTTATAGAAATCTAGCATCTGATCAAAGTCTTCTTTTTCGTCTGGCTTGAATATACTCTCTTTTTGTACCATGTCCCAGACTGCCTGCGTGGAAGAAGTGCAGTTCTTGGGGTAGTCCTTCCCACCCCTGCGTCTTTTTCTTCTGTTGGTAAGGTCGTAGAATTTTAACCATCTGAGGGGAATTTCATGTTTGACGTGCTCGGCTTTGTTGACTTCGTTCACCAATGTTTCCCGAAGGCGGAGTCCCTCCGAATCATCATAAATTTGTGCAGAATTGTCGACACAAAACACAAACGTGTGGTGTGTACTGTTGTCCGACGGATCAACCATGTTCAACACGATCATACCAAGAAGGCGAGGATACTGACCAATTTTCTTTGTTATAATTTTTGTGATCTGTTTTCTCCTTTTGCGTTGCACAAGATCTCTGTGGGTACCTACAAGAAACACTTTGCACTCGGGGTTTTTCGCATGTGCAGCGATTGAGTGTAGCCAGAATATCAGTCGCCGCATGTGGTAAGTTTCATCTTGTGCAAACTTAGCAAGACTGAACACAACCAAAAAAATTGCGTGACTGGAAATGAAAAGGGGATGAGTGGCATAGTACAGACGATCTCCCGCAAAATCCAACAGCAGCATTTTCTTAGGTAGATCTTCCTTAGACTTGAACTGAGAGATATTCTTCCCAACGAGCCTATAAGGATATTTCGTCTGCCTCATTCTTCTGAATTCTGCCTCGAAGTAGATTATAAGTCCCAGATGTACGAGAGTGAAGAAGACGTTGACAAAGTCAAAGACGAAATTCAAACCGATCGACCTGCCAAACAGTATTGCCATGAGAAAGCCAAGCACGTCAACAAGTACTTTGTTTTTGTACTTTGAGTAAAACCTACTTGCCACATGGCGTTCTAGATCCAAACCCATGACAAGAAAAATGCCGATTGTCAATCCAGATATTCCCATAGTTGCAAGACTTAACGACAGTTGGCCACTTAACAGAATTCCTGCAATGGGCAGGGCGAAAGCAATCATCTTGATAACTAGTAGTGATTTCAATCGTGACGAAAGCAAAACCCCTACAATGATGCAAAGGGACTCAAAGATTGACTCATACAACGCTGGCCTGAATTTAAGTGCATCTACTGTGGACATTTGCATACAGCACAACGCCAACCCCATTCCTATACCCACCCCCAAGCCTAAACAAGCTCCGAGCAATACGAACCATGCAGCAGCGAGCAAGCTGACGAAAGCAACACCAATACTTGAATCGGGCAAAGGCACATGTGTGTGAAAATACTTGGTGAATATGGCTACAATGGCAGCCCCCGTACCTATAGAGAATCCCCTAAAGTGAACCTGTTGGAATAAGATAATCCAGAGCAAGAGAACGAACATCAGCAGAAGGGGACCGAACCTTTCAAAGATTTCCAGAGAAGCCAAAGAAAAGGGAAGGAATATGGCAATAACTAATCTAACGTAGAACGGCCATTTTGAAGTTGAAGAGAGCTCTGTCTCGCGTGCACCGTTCCCATTCTCATCACTAGCTCTTTGCAATTGATCACTTTGCTCGGTTTCAGTGTTGTCTACAGAAGTTTGTGGAGATGTATACTCCTCATTGACATGTATGGCGGTGTACAAGGCGGATCCCTGTTGGAATTCGTTGTGTTCCGTTTCTTTCACCTCTGCCCAGTCTTCATCCACCTCGTCCGCTTGTACCAGCTCACGCTCTATGCCGACCGTCCTGGACTCTTCCGGGTCGAAGCCGCTGTCCGACAGGTGCCGTTTGAGACTGGTTTTCCCTGCTCGTTTGTCGCCCAGGAAGAGGACGTTGGTTCTGTTGGCAGGAAGGTGGCCTTTTGTACCGGATTCTGTATATACCTACGTCGTTGCACAGTGGGGGAAAACAAAAAGGATTGATTTATCTATATATATTTCTAGACGTTAATTTTGTAGGAATGCGTTGTTAAAAGTTCACTCTGCTTTACAGGACAATGTTGCACTTAGCCAATAAACCGCTCGGATCCGAAGCGCTGCTGTTTGGCACAATTTGTCTTCGACATTCACCACCACTTCTTTGTCTCAGAGTCAGAACGAATACGAATGGACATGTGGATCAAACCTCTTATGCGACATAAGTATGATATAGCTGATACGAATGAAGGTATCTGTATCTGTATAGCCGGTATAACCGCCCTTCGGCGTAACACACCAGCTTCGCAGGCACGCGGCGCGGCGGCAGCTGGCTACATTACACCGATCGACTTGTTACACCTTACCCTTGAACATCTAACTCTATACATCGTTTTAAGGTGTATACGTAAGTAATTATTTTACATTTGGTCTAACAAACGATTATGGCCTTATGGCTTATTTACGCTGTGGACGGGCTCACTTTCACTTTCACACTTTCCCTTTTATATGTAACAGGGACCCATGGCGTGTCCTATTCGTTTAATTAACGCTTCAATGATTTTACTACGGCAGTTTGACATGGGAAAAGTCGAAAGATGTCTTTGCACTAAGTTTCAGTGTAACCAAAAGCTATGGTGTAACTCAGTACTGGGCAAAGTCCGGTAATTGGCGCAGGCGTAGAAGTGCTGGCAAATGTAGCTATAAAAGTGTTATTTACTGGAATGTGTTTGGATTTTGGAGCTGGATGTTACAGGTAAGGGTTTTTCCTTTTTGATTGTGTTGAAAAATCTGACTGTCACCCATTTTTGTGGTGTCTGTAGGCTGTAGAAATGTTCTTGTGTTTTGGATGTGTTAAAGAGGGATCAGAGGTCATGTTGTTACCTCCATGAAAAATGGAGGTATTGTTTTTGGCGCGTCTTTTTGGCGTGTGTGTGTGTGTGTGTCTGTCTGTCTGTGTGTGTGTCTGTCTGTGTGTGTGTGTGTTTGTGTTTCCGCACATTTGTAGTCAGCATAACTTCAAAATGCCTTTATGGATTATGATGATATCTGGTATGCTGGTAAGTCTTGGACTAAAACTTAGGTAAGTGACCTCTTTCTTACATGTTTACCATGTACTAGTATTTCAATAGGAAGCCCCATTACCGGTCATTGGCCTACTACAAATCAATACAATACCGTATACAACAGTCGCATTGTTTACACTAATGAAACCTACCCCCCCCCCCCAAAAAAAACTCTTACAGCCCTGAATCCTAACAGTATCAAAATTATGTGCTATATTTTCGTTGACTATGATACTAGCAGACAACGTTGATGAATTTAATACTAGTAATAGGCTGCCTTCTTAGCGGATTCTCAAACACGTGGAACGTTATATTACGAACCTTCTTCACTTCTTCGCTCTCGGCCAGTACCGCGGGAGTGTCAAGTTTCAGGTCGTACAACGCTTGGTTCCTCCCGGCTACCACTCCATGGCTATGGCTAGACATCCTGTCGCAATCAGAGCTAAGATAAAGCACACAAAAAATATGGGCTAGTACGTTCTAGTACCAGGTTAAAAGGCTGCCACGTAACGTCCATGAGATAACGTTTCGAAGTCCACTACTACTATATAGTTACTGTTCGATTACCTGAGACAGGTAGACTGGATTCCCTACCACTAAACCGAACACTGATGTCCTCACGCGCCGACACGGTCAACATATAACCTCTATATTGCAATATAATTACACATTATTATAGCCTTCATTTGCAGTAGACTCGTCAGAAAACGTCTAACCATCCCCAGGTACTTCCGCTTTTCCGTTGGCCACGTGATGTCGACGTCGCTATATATTGACCTTGACGTCACCAAGCGACCAGCGTGCTTTGCACCGACCCGACCATGATGACACGTCATCGGAAGCCAATAACAAAAGTAAATTGGGTACACGTAGCGTTCGCAATTGTTCAAGTTCACCCAATTTCCTGTGTCCAACCTTTTGTCCTCTTGTCACTTCTGCCTGTCAATCTTCCCCAACCACATGGTGTCAACCTACACTCAAGTTTACCCCATTTGCTGTGTCTATCAATCTTCCGAAGTGCTGTCATCAACCAAGAAGGTTCAAAAGGAAGCATCAACCTACTCTGTCCGAACCAACAGACACACAAACACACAGCTAGGCCACCCTGGACAATACTTTTGTACCTGGACGTAAGGAGTCTATATGCTCTCTAAAGATCCAGCAGGCTCAACAAATTACTTAACTCAAGGACATTATCTTAACTCAAGACATGACTCAGGTCAAGAAACATACCACATTTCAAACCTGTAATAGTTTTAATGCCCAGGTTTAATGCACTGTGCAATAACATGTGTTTTCCAGCTTATGCTGTATCTTACATTATAGGTTGGCCAGAGCCCTGCCATATCATTTTATGATACCAGTATATATAGTTCATATTGTTCCTTACCCTTAGACAAATAACTCAGCTTCTCTTAATGGCTTTTCCCCTTAATACCTCAATGAAACTATGAGAAATATGCACCCAACAATTGGGTACTAAACATATCCGACATGTTAAAGTATACCTAATCATACAAAAGATTTAAACACATAACAGTTCACTCCTGTAAAAGTCCTGTATCAAAACTTAGTGTGAAGTTCTGACTTTGAACAACATACATATTGCCTTCACATTTTTGAGATTTTTCCTTTTCTTGAACATATTGCACATAGTATGACAGCTTCTGTGCTCTTCCATACTCTTCCACTCAATTATGTTTTCTACATGGCATGATAGCATACAACATTTCAATGGAATGGATTTTGAAAGCAACAAGAATATATATATACATGTACAATTTTCCAAAGAATTCCCACAAAAACATAGGTATTTCTGTATAATGTACCATTTGATACTATATATACAGAATGATACAAAACAATCCAAAGTAAGCATTGAAGACAATCCAAATTTTGAGCTTTTACCCCCATTCTGAAATTACCCTTGACCCATTTCCACATACATATAAGTTACCACTTTATCTATTTACAGATATAACCCTTTGATCACATTACTTACAGTACCATTCTTATTTCTTATATATAACATTTGACATAGCATGTTTAATATTTCCTTGCTACTAGAATCTAATGCTTTTTATTAATGAAATACATGTACCAGGTTTAGCAGAGAAGTACACAATGTATTATACACAAAATTAGCTGCAACTTTTTTGAACATGATTGTTTAACAGTCCTGTCTATCATCATGAGTACTTCAATTATACATGAGTGTTCTCTGTAGAGACTGAGTACCTTAAATAGGAGAAACCTAGACAGTGACAAAAGTGCTTTAGACATACATGTAACGTATACCTATTCCTTGTAGCTCACTGCAGCTGCTATCTGGTACATGTAGTATTATGCTGACCTAAAATGCAGTAACTGAAGTATTTAATAGAATATGGTGACTTCTCATTAAAATGTTAATGTGAATACCTCAACAGCCCTAAATTCATTGCTCAAGTTACAAGTTTTTTTCGAGCATGGAAGTGGAAGACTGTAGCCCATTTCATGGAAAGACAGCCCACTGTTTTCAGCAGTGTTCACATGCAAAAGCATTAGTAAAAAGTACCAGCCCAGCTCTTTGTGTCTTTCAGCATGCAGCAAGAAGAAGTGAGCAATTTGGCTTTTATTGCACCACACACAGCATTGGAAAGTCTGAAAATAAAGAAAAGTTGGCCAAAGCATTAGACATGAAAGTTTTGAAATAAATGTGCAGGAAAATAAAGCTTCTGGCAAGCACTTGACATATATCTATAAGTTATCTATCATAGATTACAGGTATATAGAGCCTCATATGTACAGATACAGATTTCTTATATATTCTATAACTTTAGGGCTTATGTATATAGACTTCCATATTCAGTGAACCAATCACATACCATGTTATAAAGGCTCTGCTGAAATAGATGAGTTTCCGCCAATCAGCAGTGAGGAGACATACAGTACTTGTTTCTCTCACAATCAACCAATCATGTCAAACCTTACAATGAACCAATCACGGCAATGACCCTTTAACCAATCAGGAGTAAAATATGGTTAGTGATGAGCCAATCAGGTTGGTTCTCCCTTCACCACCACCAACACAAGGGAGCGAACATGAGGGACCCGACAGCAGCGCCTGCCAGCATCCCCATCGCCATGTTAGTACCGTCGTGGTTCCGGTGTCGCCGGCGATCGTCGATGATGATCGTCTGACCGTTGGGCTGTGTGTACACTGTGTAATGGTAGGGATGAGATATAATTTAATTTGATCTATTGCAACAGCGTAATACATGTGTGACACAGGCAAATACTGAACAGACAATACTCATTTTCACTTGAGTTTAGTGGGGAAAGTTGTGTAAAGACTAAAGAGCCTTTCCCAAGGGCACAAGATCGGTGGCATGTCAGGACTTGAACCTGGGACCTCTTGGTTCTGAGTCAAGCATGCTGCCATTGCACCACATGACCTCACTTTATAACATGTAAGAACGCACAGGCATGGAAAATAAACTAACATATCTTGAAGAAGACATCATTCTAGAAGTGACAGATTAACTTTAGTATGAAAACTAAATGTATGTGTTTATTGTTCAACTCAAAAATTTGAATACGGCATGAAACCAATGACCTGAAGCTAGTCAAATGTGATACGCATCATTCAAAGAACAAATATGCTTGAACCAAAAATACACTCTTCTGATGTTAGGGAACATTGAATCTTGCAAATCAACCTTCCAGTTCTTGATTAATACAGCCAGTTACTAGTAATTCAATTAAATGCTGGCAAAGTCATTGTGGTAAGCATAGCAGCCATCTTCTACAGTGGCCTACTTCTAATAATAACTAAACAAGCACAACAAGATTTCGAGAACTTACTGTATTGCCCGTTCTCTATGAGATAGACTTGCCCAGGTTGTGCGTAGGCGTATGGAGGTGGGTTATAGAGCGGTACAGGTCCTCCCATACCGTCATCATATACCATCTCTGTGTACGGGGGTGGGGCACTGGAGGGTCTAGACTCATGCTGTAAGTGTAAGATACAAAATTTTTCTTCTACATGAGGAACACATCCTAGAAAATTGACCATTGACTGTGAAATCAATAAAAAAAGCATATTCTCATCCCATACAACATAGCCTTTATGAGGCATTATAGATTGGTCTCAGTATGTTTCTGATGTATATGTAGTAATAGATGCCATTCTATCTATGAATGTTCTAAGTATTCTTTTTGCCTCTATAATTTGCCTTTGTCTCAAGACATTGTAGCCTTTGTCTACTACCATGGATTTTGTCACATTGAAAACTTGAAACAACTGTATAAAATAATCATACATGCTCAACTATTTTTGCCTCCTCCAGAGCAAACTTCCACACGGCTGCATCATCTGCATTGTCGGCGCACACAAACATGGCAGTGGTACGCGTCACGATGGCGAGCAGCGCGTCGTGTGATCTCCCGTCAGGCACGGTCACATCGTTCACCATGCCACCCAGCTTTATACCTGGGGAAAGAATAGGTGCTTATAGTTACAGCAGTGTACTAGTAGTGAGTTGGTATATGCACTCCCACTTCTTATTACAAGTGTTACGAATGGCCATACTTAATTCTACAATGAACAATCATGTGTTTGACACAATATTAATGTACAATAGTTTGTAGGTATAGTAATAATGATCATACATTCGTAACACAACTACATGTCCTTCAATCCGTTAAAACCCTGTGCATGACAGTTATGTGACCTCTGACTTTTAACCTTCATGACCTAGCATGAGCTTGATTGTTGCACAATTTGGTTTTGGTGCACAATATAATTCTCTTGGTATCCTGTATTGTATACATTGTACATGTATGACATTGTATGTTGTTGCATTGTTTATATGTGCGTATCCGGGCCACTCGGAAAAGCAGTGCCCTGTAACTAAGATTGCCACCCAGTTAAAGAACACTGAAATGAATGAATAAATAAGTACCCAGACATTCTCTTCTCATGTTGATCATTCCCTTCACCTCCATTTTCCTCTCGTCTTCATAGTGGGCCAGCTGTCCGTCAACGTACAGGACAAAGAACTCCCGCTTCCATCTCTTCAGCACAGTGGCTGCAAAAGGTTTGGACACAACCAGTCAGGATCTACATCTATGACAGACACAAGGAAACAGCTACTCAAGCAATTTGGTAGAGTTTGAAATTCTATACAGTTGCTTGAGTAACTGTATTCTTGTGTTTCTGTATCTTATTACCCAAGTGTATTAACCTTCACCGTCATACATCTACATGTATGGTAAGAATCAAAAGAGGAGATACATAGAGACAACAACTTCACAGCAATGCCACTGTGATTCTAACTAAAAGCTGCAATTGCAGCTACTGTTAATGCATTTACCTTAGTTTGTGGTGGTTTTATTTTTGCATCGTCCTCTTTACCCAAAATCACAACATTGCAAACTTGTCTTTTGTATTTCTATTATATTAAAGAATTGTTTCAACTTTGTCATAAACTGATAACACTCTAAAACCCCCTTTCCCT